CCACTTTGCCGCTTGGCGTTGTCAACGCAACGCCACGCCACGCAGCGACAATGGCTCAGTTGTAATACCCATTCGTTCCCACTCATTGTTATAAACTAAATTGCTAAAATTCGTATACCGTACAGCACGGCTTGTAAAAATCAAACGACGCCTTAACTTAAGGGTATGCTTCTTTGATTTGTCCTTTGGGAATCGTCATTTTTTTCCTCTCACATTAGTACATAGTTAACCCTTTAACATCAAAAACTTACTGAATCAATTTTTTTCTTCAAATTATCACTTTCTTACTTGCGGTACCCTGATTGTCGGCGCGGTACAGTTCTAAATAAGATATTTTTATACAGGGTATATTATATGTTTTTAAACACTTCATCTTAGAGAATTAAAATTAGAATTAAATCAGCTATTCTGTCACAATAGCAAAACATAATTTAAAAAACACAAAATAAATTAAAGAAATATATAAAAAATAAATTTAAGAATAATTAGCAAAAAACCAAGATCTAATTTAATTTTATCAATATATTGTATATTGTGTCTATACAAATCGCAAAGAATGGTTCCATTTTTTCAGCAGCTTCCTTTTTATATTTCCATGTATTAAACAGTGAAAAGGAAGCGCTACCGACCCCATAAAGTAAATTCTTGATTAACTAAAGCTGACCCAATACAGCCATATCTGTCTCGTTTGTCGCCTAGTTCTCAGAAACCATAAGAGGTAGAGCAACCTTTTTGTTCAGACTCCTGTGATATCACACTAAATTTCAAAATATTAATTGGGGGTGGGAAGAGAGAGACAGAGAAGGATGTATCGTAAGGTGCGGTATGAAAATAGCTAGGGTAATATCATTTATTAAGTAGACGGGATAGATGGAATGAAAAAATATACATATTAGATAAGCTACATACTTAAATCATAAGATTACATATGTATATACAAACTGAGTACCGGCTGGAAAACTTTCGCGGGCGCACTCACCGTCAAGACTGCCTATTATTGAACAATTTACCACTCCGACTCGTAAAATATAACGACTCGGCTGACTCTGACTTTCTCTTAGTAAGGGAACGAATTAAAATGTATAATCTCATTTCTTATATAACTCAAAACTTGACAAGTGTAAGTATAAACTGATACGATTTATATCTGAGAAGTAATAAATTCATTATCAAGGCAATCCTCTGTCTTCTTCTCCACTGCAGTTCAGAGGTATTTTTGGGAGGAACGCACGATACGATTCTATAAACTCGAACAATAAATTAATAAACGATGGTAGCTTTTGGTAAGCAAATATTACGAATCAGATTCTGCACGCTCCTTTGTTAATTTCCCGTGCACACGCTCACTCACACTCGCCCTCTCCTCTTACCTCATACCAATGCCACTTAATAAGCGCAATAGCAGTTAAGAACGATACGATGATATCGATGTACCCTCAGATCCAGTCCCTTGAATAACCCACAGCCGGCGCATTAACTTTCCATGCCTTGCTTTGCGCCTTGCCCTGCCTTGATTTGTCCTTCGTGATGGTACGCAGTTATTTAAAATAATATTTCCGCATCCGGCAAATAATACGAAACGCGTGCTGCTGCCAGCCAGCGCTTTGCTGAGCTGTGCTGTTCACAACCCAGCCCCGGTCCAGGTCCAGGTCGTCCCGGTCGCATCCAACAAGTACTGCCGACTTTATCACTGTAATTGGACGCTATCAATAATTTTCCCCTACAGGAAGAGTGATTTTAAGTCTATATCAATGAGATGAGATAACTTTTAGTTTTAATTATAATATAAACGTTCGTTAGAAATATCAAAAAGAAAAATTTCCATACATATTCCATTATGAAAATGCTTTCAGAAAACCGTTAACCAAAAAAATCAGTTTATTTTTTTGAAGATTAGTGATGTGGGATGTAAAAGTGTATTGATTTTTGTCGAGTTTTTATTGAGTCTATCCCACTTTTCGATGATAACGAAGTATTTGGATTTATTGTCCCGTCACAACAAGTTTCTGTTTGGCTGAATAATTGTTCTTGCCAACGATATGCCGAACCCAAAAGAAATACTTCATATCTATGTACGTATTTTACAGGTATCATAATTTGAGATTGTTTTACTATTTTCTCTTTTCGCCAAGCCTGCCAGTTTTTATGCACATACATTCAAATATATTTACATAGTTATTCGATGTAGTTGTTAACATACATATGGATATGTTAATATTATCTCTTCAAATGTGTACATATGTATAACTTACATACGAGTGTGTACATATGTATTACATACAAAGATATATCGCGCCCTTTAAAAACAAAAACAACAACCACAACGGCGGGACCATGCAGTTTTATTCAAGCGCAAATCCACACACAATGCATCATTTTATTTAATTGTTTACTTCAAGGGTAGGCTCAGCGCAGCGTATAGCACAGGGCAGGCACCCCTAAGTAGGGTTGACTGTCAAAATGTTCGTGCTCTTCTATTTGTCTAACAAACTCTTGGATGGGACGGGAGTCGGCCGGCAGGCCAAGCACTCGTATTTGTTCGTCTGTTTAGTGTAGCAACTTTGACCTCCTTTGTTCGTTACAAAACCTTGTCGGCATCGGCTGCGGTTTTTTTTTTTGGTTTTGGTCTTGTCTCTCCGATTCTTTGTTATCTAAGCTAAATTACACTCTCGTCCTTTTGCTCTTCTCTTCAATTGTTGTCTGTCCCATGCTCGGTTTTTGTTCGACTCTTCGACTGCGAGGGAATCTGTGGCTGACGACTTTTTGTGAGCCAACTTGGGCATTCTTAACAGGCTCAGGTATTAGAAGAGATCGCAAAACATCGAGAGTTGTGTTAGTGCCGGCTGTTTTTGTTTCAGCAATGTTCCGCCCATCAACATTGTTGTCGACACACGCCTAATGAAAATATAATGGACAGTACGAGTACATTTTTCATTTTATAGCCTCAGCACGAAAAAATATATTAACAGATTTAGTCAATTAGCCAGCCGATTGGAACTCACATCTTTTCTCACCTTCTCACGGCAGTAACAGCCTTCTCTCAATTCACAGGGTATACATTATAAAATAAAAATATATAAAAATTATATATGTATTATATATTTTCTAAGCTTGTTTGATGACTATATAAAATTGATTGATTAAAATAACATGTTCGGTAATACTTATTACATTTTTCTTATCGTGTTTCGCTTAGAAAATAACAAGACGATATATCCTATTATATTATGAATGGAAAAGTCACTAAAATGTATCATCATTTGTTTCCAGTCCTTTTCTGCGCATAGGAAATTCTACATATGTATATATGTATAGAGATATCTATCTATGTATGTACATAGTGTAAATGTGCCTTAAAACTAATTTCAAAAGTAGTCACTGAAGGAATATAAAATGATGACGGATGCAAATGTGGTAACCAGACTAAACGTTTTCCGACTGACCGTTTCTCTGTTTTAATGTAAAACCCGGTAACACATACATATAAATCCCATATTGAACATGACATTCCATGGGCGGGAGGTGTTCAAATTTTTATAATGTACGCCGGGGCAACAGAATATGAAATAAATTAACGTTTATTCACACATTCCAGAAAAATCAGATTCGTCACCTCCACAATGCTCCATGAAATTTTTGGCACACGCAGAAGGAATTACAAAAAGTCGAACCGGGAATAAGTATTTCCCTTTGAAGAACAAGCACCCTACACAGATGCCGTCAGTGAGAGAATGGGCCAAAGGTTGTGTGATTGGTGGCTTGTGGGTGGCGGGGGTTGACGGGGGACACAGGGTAAGGGGCTTATCCGGTGGTGCGTGTGACTTCAAAAATCCCAAAAACGTGTCGGGCGGCATGTTGAGTGCCAGTAGGCTTGAATGCTGCTTGAATCTTTGGGGATGGTTGTAAGTTCTTGGATGATACTAGTTACTGTTCTGCTGGTGCTTGCTTGGTGGTGGAAATTGTGTAACTGACATATACGGCAATTTGCAAACTCAAAGCCTTGTCTCTGAGATGTGAAGTAAACGAGTTTCAAATTGTATTTTCTAAAATTTCTAGATTTAAAAATCCTATCCGAAAATATGGATGAATGAATTAAATGAATTATTTTTCTATTGAAAAATCTGAACTGTTTCATTACCATTTACATATGTACGTATGTATATATAATGTGTGAGATTTTTTAAAAGTTTTAAAAGTTGTTTTAAAAGTTGATTTTCGTTAGTTATTTATTTTGAAATATCTTTATTTTTTATACATAAACATGAATTGTGACGCACTCCTCGCCACCTAGTGGCTCTGAGATTGAGGTGGTTTCTGCTTTTCAACAAAACAAAATATTATAATGGAAATGTGCAAAAGCCTTTAACATAAGGTATGTCTCTGTCCAAGTACATACAAGTGTGTATGTAAGCAAAAAAGCTTACAAAAACGAAACTTTTACATACGTTCATTCATATGCATATGCAGACGAAACGAAAGATGGAAATGGGTTCTCTTATGTACATACACATACATACATAAGCATATATATGTACATATGTATGAATGAATGCAGTTTTGTTTGCCATCGTTATTATCATCTGAATTCATAAAGTTAAAGCCCTCTCGTTTTCAACTAATAATTATCAAACAACCAACCAAAAGTCCCTCATCATGATAGAAAGGGTCAGGACGAAGTTGTTCTACACCGACAGTTTATTGTTGCCATCCCTCTTTTACTCAACTCCCATTCGCTCTCGTCAGTTGTATGCTCTGTTTCTGTGTTGCTCATCTCTCTTGTGTAGCTACTGCCATCTCTGTTTTTGATATGGAAAACGCATACCCATACATCCCATGGACGCGTTACCCACAGACCGCAACCAGAACGAAAGAGGCAGATAGAGTATAACTCTGTCAAAATGGCTGGCAATGATGATTTTACTGTACTGTTGCTCTTGCCAGTGTTTTTTCGCATGAGAGCTCATTAACGTTTCGCTTGGCTAAGTGCGCGCCTCGCCTCGCCACTGAAACCAGTTAGTAGAAGAAAATTTTGTTCAGAGGAAACTAAGACCGACGCCGACGTCACGATGGCTGCGATTTGATTATTTCGAATGCACATACTAGTACTTAGATTAATAAACGTGAACGCAATCCGTGGCCCTGCCTGCCGCCGGGTCGCTGACGGCACGGCAGCACCTGCCTGCACCTGTGGCAGATAATATCGGGACCAATTTTTAGTTAAACTTTAGTTCCGACTTACGAATCGGATATTCCGTTATTCTGTTACGCTAAAAACTAAACTGTACAGAGTGTTAAAAATTGCTAAATGCGAAACGAGCTGGCGAAGAGTACAAAGATTAAAATTGAAGAAAAGCTAACTAGCCCGCCGAGTATCGTATAGTGATAGTCTAGTGTTGAATAAACAAGTGAAAAATATAAAATATATGTATACACAAGTAAAAAATACGAAACGAAATCCCACTCTTTTGCAACCATTAAGCAGTGATTCGCGCGAAAACAAATACTAAACTGAACTTGTATCAAGTACGTTCAAATTGGCATCGAAATTGGAACAACCAATACACCAATCAGCAATCATGATGCTAACAACTGAACACATAATGCATGGGCATCATCCCCACTCTTCGGTCGGTCAGAGTGCGTTGTTCGGATGCTCCACTGCGGGTCATAGTGGTATTAATCAGTTAGGCGGCGTCTATGTAAATGGCCGTCCACTGCCCGACTCAACGCGTCAAAAGATAGTCGAGCTGGCTCACTCGGGCGCTCGTCCATGTGATATTTCGAGAATACTTCAAGTTTCAAATGGCTGCGTAAGCAAAATATTGGGCAGGTGAGACTCAACCCCGATATATCCCCAATCCCGTTCTAAAAATATGTAATATTTGTATTGAAATATAGCTTGCAGTGTTTAACGAATCAGACGTAATATTTAGTGGTTCTTTAAAGTTCTACGTACAGCTGGTATAACCTCCAAAACCGTAAACCTTATACATATATTTACAGTGCACATTCATTTCTAGTCGAAGCTAGTCTTTGTTTGTGTATTAGGTGTACTGTACAGTATTTCTTATACAGTATAGTATAAGATGTATGTTTTATCTTGATCAGCGCCCATCAGAATATTAAACTATTCTAAACAACGAGTACAGCTAAGCTATTCTTTTTGAGTCTTCTTAAATAACATAATCGTGTTATCATGCACTAATATTTTATTCTCTTTTCGTTTTAGATACTATGAAACGGGATCAATCAAACCTCGAGCAATAGGTGGTTCCAAACCACGAGTAGCTACAACGCCGGTCGTACAAAAAATTGCAGATTACAAGCGGGAATGTCCCAGCATATTTGCTTGGGAAATTCGAGATCGACTACTTTCGGAGCAAGTTTGCAATAGTGATAACATTCCAAGTGTAAGTATCGAATTGTGTACAAATTAAATTGTATGCTCGTAATGAAAGCAAATCTGTTTGAAATACATGACACGTCTTTAGATTTAAAACTGATTTGACTATTTAAGATAAAAACTTGACAACAAGCAGTTTCCGGCCACTGTTGTATCAACTCCCTATGCGATATACTAGAAGTCAGTCTGTGTATCTGTATGAAAACCTATTTAGTTATTCGATACTCTTAAGAGGTATAGCAACCTAATTTAATGGGATTCACAATTATAAAAAAAAAAATCTCCCCCTTAATAGTTTATATTTATTTGTTCAAGTTAACCATTCAATGACTGATTAACAAGGCTGCGCGATCAAATGGTTTAGTAATGACATTACCCGTGCCAAGGAAAATATTTAAAAGAGGAAATATTTAATATGGATTGTATTTAAACAATACTCTTTCCACGAATGATATAAGAATTTCATTGATCGTTTTTCTATTGACACATTCTTGAATATAAATTTAAGAACTAGTATTCGCGGCGCAGAATAATGCTGCTTGATTTGAGTTCCACGGAAAAATCTGGAATGCCGGAATCTGGCATTTCAGTTTATGGAGCTGAAGCTTTGAATACTTTTACGTATATCTTGGAGTCTCTATGAAAGGTATATAGTTTATTCATTCCTTTTCGGCTGGGTTGGATGTTTATGTAAACCTAAAAATAATTCTCGTATAATATAGTAGTTCGATTCGGCTGATCCTATCTACCTATTCAATAAAGAATATGTGACGACAGACGGAAATAGAAAGCTTTATTTTCGAAATGAGCATATAGAAAATTTCAATGTATAATATACCAAAATATTTCAGTCAGGTTTTTTTACAAAGTCTTGTTTTAAGAGATGTATATAGTTATCCAAATTTGGGTTTCGGTCTCAGCAAAGTTTCAGCCAGATCACGATCAGAAATATATTTTTGAATATTATGAAACTTATTAATTCGTTATTAATGAATTTCCTTATTAACTATATCTTAGTTTTTTTTTACTATAGTCTAACTACCCTACAAATCTCAGTTGAAAGATACGACAAATGTGTGTCGGTTGATTAGAACAAGTTGATTTGTATTTCTGAATAGATTTATTAAGGTTTTGTGTGTAGGGTTGGCAGAAAAACTAATTCTTAATCCTGTAGCAGGAAAAGTTTCTGCGATCAAGATTGCAGTAAAGTATGTATATCCAAACAAAAGGCTAGGACGCACAAAGGATTAAATAATTTCAAAACAAAAAGAATCCATCGCACTTAAAACGGATTAGGGAATGGATACATAGACCTTGGTCTAGTTTCGGAGATCTTTCTAATTTTCAATGGTCTCAACCGACTGAATACAATTTCATTATTCCATCAGGTAAACAACCGCATTGTTCGTCTAATCCCACAGAAGAGCTAGCCCTCTTTCATAGTGGAAGATTAGATGGTTGGAGGTTGTAAGGGTTTCTGAGGCCACAGAATGTAAAATCAGCACATTCAACATACGAGTATGTGGAATATTCATCTTAAAATATAAAGAAAGCCCGACTTCTAGTGTCGTTTAGATATCATATGCGTCTAATAAGTGTAACTGTGCTCCAATACAATTAAGAACGACATTAGGTAATGACATTAGGTCGACCGCCAGATTGCCGTCCCGTCCGACTAAGCTTCTTTGGGCCTAACCAGTTCCTAATCGCCAGATTGATAGTGGTAGGAAGCATTCTAGATTCCACAATGTAGATATTTTCTTGATCAACATCAAAAGTCAAGTCATTTTTAAATTTTCGCAACTAATTTCGTCCCATTTAAGTGGTCTTATTTTATGAATAGTAAGATCGGACCTTTGTAGTATAGTTATACATATATGCCACAGACAACGAGAGCACTGGCCTAGTATCGAAATATATACATATAAGTTGGTACCAACTGGTTACATAATGCCTGTTTTAAGAGAGAGATAGATTTATTGGTGTTTAAATTTCAATAGGACGTATTTAGATACATACATAATATATTTCTTCTTGACCAGAAGGATATTACCAGCACAATGCGGTAGAAAGAAGGGTGAGTAGTCTTAGGAAAACTGTGGTGTGCTTTTCAGCAAGAGATCTGTTTAAAAATAGCCTTTTTTCTATAAGGTGTTTGTAACGAAAAGAATGTCGAAGAAGCAGTATGTACATATATATGTACTTGTAGAATTGGTCTGTTCTTAAGAAACATTAACAGACGGATCGATAGCTAGGTTTTTTTCTATATGAGAGGTTATAACGAGTCGTAACTTGAGTCGTGCTGGGTATGATGGTCAAAAAAGGCCGCGCTTGTCTCTCTATTAAGTTTGATCCTTGTCATGATAGATGGAAAAAACATGGAGAGAAATAAAGGGGCGCGACTTGCTCTTCGTTTATTCGCTGGCAACCTAATGCCATGTATGAATGGCTTACACTTGTTTCAGTGTGATATCATAGGAGTATTGACACAAAATATAGTTATACTATGCAACAAACGAGAAGGACAGACGGACGGACAGTCAGATATAGCTATATCGAGTGGGCTATTGATTCTAAACATATATATACTTTATTTGGTTGGATATGTGGGCCATCTACATAGTACCGGGTATAATACACAATACATTTGTATCTCAGCTAAAAAACGAGGGGGAACGTTGTGAGTTGCTGCGTACCGCAACTCTACATTTATACCCGATACTTAGTCAGTATGACTCTCCTCCGGCAGACGCCGCTAATATTAATCGACACGACAAAGAATGCGTGCGAGAGAGACAGAAAATCAGTCTGAGCGTGACGTCGGGCGCTGCGTAGCCACTGCAAATTGATCTGTTCCCTTTGGCTATACAAATAATCTGATCTGATCCAGATTCAGCAACCTGATAGATATGATCATTATCTATGATTCTGCGTTTTTAGTTTTCTCGTATCTTCAAAATTGTAGATGCCACAGATTTTCGTCCTTTGGGGGGGGTGGCGAAAGGGGGTGAGGCGAAATTTTAAGATATACGTTTGATAGCGAGATCTAACAGGAGTGCGGATACCAAATTTGGTTACTCTAGCGTTAAAAGTCTCTGAGATTTGTGAATATCCCCAGATTTTCGTCCTTTGCGGGGGCGGAAGGGAGTGTGGCGAAATTTTGAAACAAACTCGTCTCGGTCCGCTATCTTAGGAGTGTGGATACCAAATTTGGTTGCTCTCGCTTTTTATAGTCTCTAAGATCTAGGCGCTAATGTTTTACTCTAAGCAAAGCCGCCCATGCTACGTGTGTGTTAGAGAGAGACAGGGCGAGAAAAAATGAAATTGTTTTCTTAATGCTGGCTATAATAATGATACGATCCAATTCAGATTCTGCAGTCTAAAAGATATGGTCATTCTCTACGATTCCGCGTTTTTTCATATCTTTAAAATTGTGAATGCCACAGATTTTCGTCCTTTGTGGGGGCGGAAGTGGGCGGGGCGAAGCTATGAAATATTTTTGTAGCAGTGACATATCACAGAAGTCTGGATCCAAAACATCGTTGCTCTAGCTCTTATAGTCTTTGAGCACTAGGCGCTGAAGGGAAGACGGACAGACGGACGGGCGGACAGACGGACGGGCGGACGGACGGACAGACGGACAGACAGACATGGCTCAATCGACTCGGCTATTGATGCTGATCAAGAATATATATACTTTATGGGGTCGGAAACGACTCCTTCTGGACGTTACACACATCCATTTTCACCACAAATCTAATATAACCCAATACTCATTTTGAGTATCGGGTATAAAAATACAAAGTGCGATGATAATACTAGTATGTATGCAAATATGCACTTTAAAGCGTCGGATATGCTTTATTGTGTGCTTTAAAGACTTTTGTATGGTCATTCTCTACGATTCTGCGTTGTTTCATATCTTTAAAATTGTGAATGCCACAGATTTTCGTCCTTTGTGGGGGCGTAAGTGGGCGGGGCGAAGCTTTGAAATATTTTTGTAGCAGTGACATATCACAGAAGTCTGGATCCAAAACATCGTTGCTCTAGCTCTTATAGTCTTTGAGCACTAGGCGCTGAAGGGACAGACGGACAGACGGACGGACGGACAGACAGACATGGCTCAATCGACTCGGCTATTGATGCTGATCAAGAATATATATACTTTATGGGGTCGGAAACGACTCCTTCTGGACGTTACACACATCCATTTTCACCACAAATCTAATATAACCCAATACTCATTTTGAGTATCGGGTATAAAAATACAAAGTGCGATGATAATACTAGTATGTATGCAAATATGCACTTTAAAGCGACGGATATGCTTTATTGTGTGCTTTAAAGACTTTTGTATGGTCATTCTCTACGATTCTGCGTTGTTTCATATCTTTAAAATTGTGAATGCCACAGATTTTCGTCCTTTGTGGGGGCGTAAGTGGGCGGGGCGAAGCTTTAAAATATTTTTGTAGCAGTGACATATCACAGAAGTCTGGATCCAAAACATCGTTGCTCTAGCTCTTATAGTCTTTGAGCACTAGGCGCTGAAGGGACAGACGGACAGACGGACGGACGGACAGACAGACATGGCCCAATCGACTCGGCTATTGATGTGATCAAGAATATATATACTTTATGGGGTCGGAAACGATTCCTTCTGGACGTTACACACATCCATTTTCACCACAAATCTAATATAACCCAATACTCATTTTGAGTATCGGGTATAAAAATACAAAGTGCGATGATAATACTAGTATGTATGCAAATATGCACTTTAAAGCGTCGGATATGCTTTATTGTGTGCTTTAAAAACTTTTGTACAAAATGTAAGTACGCTCTGCACGAAAAAAATTACACGAAAAGCTTCTTGGTCACTTGATTCAATTTCTTTGATGTTCTTTGATGCTTTTATGTACAAATAATAACGACCAGTAATTCATTATACCCATACTCGGCCCAGCGTCAACTCAATTGTGCTAAATGAGGAGTAAAGTGTCCAAAGAAATGTTGGACCCATGGCACGTGGCGACACTTAAGGCAACTGCAAAAGTGGCATTTTGTATGTTTGTGGTAATGACGTTGGGTATATGTATGTATCTAAATATCTGTACCTATTTACATACATGTCACGCTGATAGATATAATCCAATTTTGTTTTTGTACCAATTATAAATCTGGTTATATGAAGAACATATTCAGAAGCAACATTTTTATACCCGATACTCAAAATGAGTATTGGGGTATACTAGATTTGTGCTGAAAATGGGTGTGTGTAACGTCCAGAAGGAATAGTTTCCGACCCCTTAAAGCATACATATTTTTGATCAGCATCAATAGCCGAGTCGATTGAGATCTGTCTGTCTGTCCGTCCCTATTAGAGCCTAGTTCTCAAAGACTATAAGAGCTAGAGCAACGACATTTTATATCCGGACTTCTGTGATATGTCACTGTTACAAGTATATTTAAAAACTTTGCCTCGCCCACTTCCGCCTCCACAAAGGGCGAAAATCTGTGGCATCCACAATTTCAAAGATACGAGAAAACCAAAAAGCAGAATCGTAGAGAATGACCATATCTTCTAGACTGCAGAATAAAGAAAACAATTTCATTTTTTCTCGCCCTGTGTCTCTCTAACACACACGTATCACGTAGATCTCAGAGACTAAAAGAGCTAGAGCAACCAAATTTTTGATCCACACTCCTGAAATATCGGACCTTGACGAATTTGTTTCAAAATTTCGCCACACCCCCTTCTCCCCCCACAACCCCAACCCCCAACGGACGAAAATCTGACTGTAGAGCTCTCACTGTTACAAAACTATTTGTAATTTTTCACTGCAGAACTCACTGTTACAAGTGTATTTCTTTTTGCTCACTGTAGAGAGCTCACTGCTACAAGTGTGTTTTGAAAATTTCGCCCCGCCGCCCTTCCGCCTCCTATAAAAGACAAAAATCTGCGGCAACCACAATTTTGAATATAGGAGAAAATTAATTTTCATCACAATCATAGGGAATGGTCATACCTACAAGATTGCCGAATCCGCATCAGATCGGATTATTATTATAGCCAAAAGTAACAAATCAATTTTCAGTGGCTACGCAGCGCCCGTCGACACGTTCTGACTGATTTTCTGTCTCTCTCGCACGCACTGTTTGTCGTTTAATGTAGTCATACTGACTATGTATTGGGTATAAATGTAGAGTTGCGGTCTCCGCAGCAACTCACAATGTTCCCCCTCGCTTCTTTTAATTCTATGACAGCAGTCGCGCATACTTGGCGGTTTCTACTTAAATTTATGTATGAATACTGCGTACACCACAGAAAAGGATAAAGCAAGTGGCCCAACAATTGCTTACAAAAATAGCGGAGATACTTTTTCCGAGCGTTGCAAAAATCTTGAAAAAGTGTGCCGACCCTAGCAAAGAGTATCCTTCGCAATGCTGAGTCTTTTCCCTCCTTTTCCGGCATCAACCACAAACATCTTGGAACACGATTATTATACCCGATGATCAAAATGAGGTATAGGGGAATATTAGATTTGTGGGGAAATTGGATGTGTGTAACGTCCAGAAGAAAGAGTTTCCGACCCCATAAAGTACATGTATTCTTGATATCATCAATAGCCGGGTCGATTGACCGACTGTCTGTCCGTCCCTATGGCGCTCATACTACGCGCTGTAGTTCTCAGAGACTATAAGAGCTGGAGCAAGGACTTTTTTATTCAGACTTCTGTGATATCTCATTGTTAAAAATGTGTGTTCAAAATTTCGCCCCGCCACAACAAAGGAGGAAGATCTGCGGCATACACAACTTTTAAGATACGAGAAAATTCAAAATGCGAAATCATAGAGAATGACCATATTATCCATATATCCATGGTAAGATTGACAGTAAGAGATAGAGAGAGGGAGCGACCGTGGGTCAACCACGGGCAATTCATTCTGGTTATAATTATAAATCGATGTGATCCTGATTCGACAATCTGATAGTTATGTATGGGCGTTCTCTATGATTGTAGATGAAATAGATTTTCACAATTTGTGGGTACGAATTTTTGAAGTACACTTGTAGCAGTGTAACATCATAAAAGTCTGCTCTAACTTGTTTAGTCTCTGAGATCTCGGCGCTCATTAAGACGGCCATGTCTGTATCGATTCGGCTATTACTGATCAGGATTAAATCCCCTTCATGAGGTTGAAAATGCTTCCTTCTTGCTGTTAGACACATCTACACTATGCTCATAGAGTACGGGGTATATAGATTATCTGTATTTTGCGCAGTAACGTAGAAACGGTAATGTCTTCGCAAAAGTGTAAAGATGATTGTGCTACAAATCTTGTTTGCTTTTTGTTTTAAAGTTTGAGTCTTTGCACATCAAAATTGTATGGTTCAGCCCTACAATGTCTTGAACTGCAACACCAATGAAAACATGGTAATGGGGACTATACAATGGAAGATGAGAATGGTCGGGTTTGGATCGAATTAAAATGTATCCCAGTTTATACGAAAGACATGAGTATGAAAAGTGAGCAATTTAAGACCTCTAATAGAGAGGTCCAAACGAATCTCAGTATTTTTCAGATTGATTCGCAAAATTTTGCAATGGTTCGAAAGTTCGGGAAAACAAAGTTGTTCTACATATTTATATATATGTATTGTCCAAGCTTTAAATTTTACTGTGGATTCCCGAGGGTTTTTAGTACTTGCACATACACATATGTATGAACATACATAGGTATGTATATACATATATTTCACATATCTTCGAAAAGAAAAATCATTCGAGTTGTGAAATCAAAAATTCAAATTGAAAGATAAGAATTTTACCGCTTCGTTTCTTGTTTTCGTATTGTGGAAAATTAAGAAAAAGAGTAGACTGTACTAATCGCTCTCGGCTTTCTATATCTTTCCCGCTCTCGAACGCGGGGATTGGCTATCGTCGTTAGCCAATCGTGTCTCGTCGTTACCGTTGCAATGTTTCGTTAGAGGGTAGGTTACGAAAGTTACTCTTCAATACACAAACGTATGTAATACACATGTACACACAGCTGTGCACATGTATGTACATGTGTATTGTAGGTACAATACAAAATACAAAATCTACAAAATATATTTGAATGGCAGAATACAACAGATCAGAATAATTAATTTCAGTAATACTATGTTTATGTACATATGTATGTACGTACATGTGGATATATGTATGTATGTTTTGTGAACTCTGTTTAATTGCAGGTTTCATCTATAAATCGAGTCTTGCGCAATTTGGCATCGCAAAAGGAGCAGCAAGCGCAGCAGCAAAACGAGTCTGTCTATGAAAAGCTCCGCATGTTCAATGGACAAACCAGTGGTTGGGCATGGTATCCAAGCAACACAACGGCACACTTGGCCCTACCGCCAACACCAACGGCCCTGCCGACGCCAACGAATTTATCTGGACAAATTAACCGGGACGAAGTTCAAAAGCGAGGTAAGTAAGCACCCTTGTTCTTAATTACAAATAAATAATAAACAGTTGATTTCCATAGTCGAGAAACAATCGGTTGTGGAAGTGGAGGCTAAAAGAATACATTTAAGTATTAACTTGCAGTTACATTGTTGTCCTATCTAATCAAGCATGAATGCTGCTATCAAATACTATTCGGACGAAAAGATTCACGCTGCTACAGGCTAGATTCGTGTAGTGATCAAAAAATCAATAAGAAATTGCCCAATCACACGATGCAGCCGCTTAACAAATTCAATCGAGTATAAAACCAGTCCAAGTGTTGGAAACCTGTTTTAGTGTGTACGATAGGAGTCTGCAAAATCCGGTTGCTCTAGCTCTGATGTATAGTCAATGAGAACCAGGCGTCAAACGGGACATACATAGCTATATATAGATACTTCATAAGGTCGGAAACGCTTCCCTTTTGTTGTTACATGCATTTCCACGAATCTAATATACCCTTGAGTACTCTTGAGTACTGCCTCACCGAAGGAATCGTATTTTAGAGGCCAAATATTGTCAAATAAAGTCGAGCTCTTTACGCAATTATTTACCATAAATCATAAGATTACATACATATGTATGTATGTATATACAATCTTCTTGGGACTATTGACTACCAAACCCTTCTTATAGAGCTTGATTTTGCTGTTTTCTGCCAACAGCAACTAATCTGCTTTTATTATTCTTCGATAATACCTATTTACATCTTCATTGAACAGGTACATATATAATATATGTATATATGTATGTATATAAATTTATAAGTATGAATGCATGAGTAAGACGCTTCGGACCAAACACAGTGCTCTGTGTGTGTGTGTGTGTGTGCTAAAAGAATAGCATCAGTAACCCTCCACCTTCAATGCAATCTCTCAAATCTCTCTTGATAGTATTTTGTCACAGATGATCAAACAGCATGCCAAACAAAAAGTTAATTTGTTGGTCATTTGTTGTTTGCCATTAAATCTAATTGAGGCATAGCATTCGTTATTTGGCTTTAGCTTCTGTTTCTTTTGTTAACTTCAATTGTTTTTGTTTATTTTGCGATCAATGAATTAGAATGACATATGTCCTTTTTCCAATAAACATACCCCTGCCCATGTGCCTATACTCTTATCTCATATTATCTCGTCCAATCAACTTGATTGCTGTATCAACCACACACACAGACGCAGGCCCACAGCATTAAGGCATATGCAAGCATTTTTATCAAATACGAAAAACCATCTGCAAAATTAATTAAACTAAACCAATTTTCTTATTCCGCCTGACTTTCGATTCATATCCGGAACAATTTTTTAGCCGATTGACCACATTTAGATTTTGATTAAATGACTAAAACGAATGGTTTGAATTGTAGAAAAATAGAATATATTTTCATACCCGATATTTTTTTTGTCTCAAAGAGTATAGGGATATATTAGTGAAAGTGTAGTGAAAGTCTCTCTCTCGGTGTAGACTTCTATGATATTACACTGAAATCAAGTTTGTTTCAAAATTTTTGCCACACTCCCTACTGTCTCAGTAAGGGCGAAAATCTTCACCATTTTGATGATACGAGAAAACCGGTGATAAAAGATGATAAATGGAGTGCAAAAATTAACATTAACAACATAACTAGCGGTCGTGGTCCCTCTTTTTCTAATAAAAAAATCTATGATTGTACACACTTCCCGCATTATTGAACCATTCAATTCGTCCCTATTGCGAACAGCATCTTTTGATAGACCGAGAGAGAGAGAGAGCATTCGGCAGTCATCGGCTCCGATACCAATTGTCAATTGTTAGTTCCAGTTACTTCATTTAATTAAATTTACTAATACCAAAGATTAATGGCTGAATTTTCTAGGTAAAAGTTCATATATAACAATATTTTTTCACAAAAAAAAGTGTTAAATCAAAATGAAAACTTTTTGTTTTTTTTTTGCTGAGTATATATGTATATACTATATATAATTGGAGAAAGGTCGGTCGAATAACAACGTTCTTTATTAGGAAAACTTTGTACTATAACTTGTATCCTTTCCAATTATCTCTCACAGAAACACAGAATCTAACTCAAACACAACTGTATCACATCCCGCCTCAAATAATAAATTTCCATTTTATATTCTCTTTAGATATATATCCCGGTGATGTATCTCACCCCTCGCACGAGAGTACGTCAGATGGCAATTCCGATCACAATTCATCTGGAGACGAGGACTCTCAAATGCGGCTACGGCTGAAAAGAAAACTTCAGCGCAATCGAACCTCTTTTACCAATGAACAAATTGACAGCCTGGAGAAAGGTAACTATTAATTTAATCCTATAGTATAAATAACCATATTTATTTGTCGTGCAATTTACAGAATTTGAGCGAACACATTACCCGGACGTATTTGCGCGAGAGAGACTTGCTGAAAAAATTGGTTTGCCAGAGGCACGTATTCAGGTTTGTCTTTCAGTTTTGTTTAATTATATAAAAAGACCTTTTTACGAGGTAAATGTATGGTAACACAGAAATTTTGAAGTCCCAAAATTTCTTATCTTTCATTTTGTGACGAAAAGGGTCGATTTAATAGTCGGCACCGGGTTTTCAAAAGCTACTTTGTCCGTACTTGTACAGAAAATAAGTCTGATTAACGATTTAATTTTTTCTACGTTAGTGTTCTCTAATGTGGCGCTACAACTTTTATTCATTCAATGATTATTAATTAATTAAATTCATACAAGAAACTGGAAAAATAAATTGCTAAAACAATAATCATGGAAAATGTTCAGTCAAGTCTAATCTGCTAGTCCGAGAATATTTAAGAGACATTATGCATGTATGTATGATTTTTTATAGTACATCTATTAACTTGGATGTTGTCTTTCGTCACAAACTTTGATATCAGTTATTCTGAGACTTTAAAATGTTTTTTGGCACCAGACTTTTATCTTTTAAAAAGATTTTTAAAGCCTTGCCGGTTTTTATAATTTTGGTTAGATGTTTTTTAACTCAAAGAAGAAAGTAATTCCTCCACATAAAGGCTTTCCCATGAATCGAATGTAAACCTAAGCTATCTGAATGAGACTTAGCACCCTATACTTTTTTTTTAAAGGGAAAGATTATTACTAACTGGACATCGTATACTACTTGCCAGAAGTATCCTTTATCTGTCTTTCCAGAGTCGCCTTGCCTGGAGTCCTTGTAACCTTAGCTTCTGCGAAATCATGTATTACGGCTCCTTCTTTTTGCCACTTCCAGTGTAAACGCACGTTACTGGGCCATCGGTAGAACCCTAGAAGAAGGCTTATCTTTTAGCGAGCCCTGTGGCTTGTCCTGCAGATAAAGTAACAGAAGTTACATGGATGTAAAAGTGGTCTGAAATTCTACTGTGTATTGCATATGTACCTTATTCTGAGCTCTAACGAACTCCTCAAAACAGTATCGTATCAATACCCACTAAGTTGCGTTGGTGGTGTTGCAGGCAGGCATTAGATTAGGCCCCCTTGAAAGAATTTCTTTTCACCGCTCACGGCGCACATCAGGGTGGTTTTTAAAAGTGCCTTCAGCATTGTCATTGCTTTGCCGACAAGGGGGGACGATCTGTCAGTCCGTATGAGACTGAGTTTGACACGCCTGCCATCCAACTGTAAAATGGGGCTGTCCGCACTAAATGATTATTCTAATGACTAGACGCGGATTCACCAAGGTCTGCTTTTTAACAAATATTAAGTTTATCGTTTTAAGAAAAACAATTGATCTAAGACTACTCCTTTTTACAAAAGATACAATCGCTTAAAAACAAGTACATACATATATGCACGAAATATCTCATTTCTATGAAGCATTGGACCAAAATATTTTTGGGATTTTATTTTAATTTTCAAATAAATAAGTTGGCATCGGAAAATGTGTTTTAAAAGAATGTGAAATAATGCTAAATAGGCGTACACGCTATACAATATATATATATGTACATCTGTGCATAAATATATGCATGACTTGTTCTCCTTCAACTTCTGTTGTCTTTTCTGTGGCTGCAAAGGCAAGATGCTATCAATACACAATCCTGTGCTTTGCAGCTATGATTAAGGGGTCCTTCAGTCGCCCTTTGCTTTCAGCTCGCTGCAACTCTATCTCTGACACCCTGACACTCAGACAACTATATCTCCTGCACATTGCAGAAAAGTATCCGAACAGTAAATTCTACAACCAGTCTGTGTTTGTAGCTAGCTTTGTCTTCGTACTTTCTAGCTCTTAATGCAAGTAATTTTTTCGTATTTTGACTAAACGAGTCAGTCCTAAGCGAGGGGATACAATCAGACAGAGTCAAAAATCAACCCACTACAATTCACCCTGCGAATTCCGTTCATTTTTAATGGTTTTTTGTCGTCGGGCACAGTCGGATTGTTTGTGTAAGTGAATAAAAACAATTTGACTGTAAAAACACTTGAAACATCTCTTGTTTTTTGCATTGAGTAGCCGATGACGCGGGCACATTGGAGGACACTGACGAACTTAAGGGGAAACATGTCGGATGAAGTGGAAGCGGCAACAATAACGCAAAGTAATAAATGTCATGGTGTAAATATTAAGGCCCAGCAAATATTGTAATCCCTATTCACATTCACCCCTTTGTCATATTGCTAAATTTTGATTCTCTGCATAGCTACTATGTGAAGGGTGTGTCTCCAACTGCGAACGCGAACGCGACTGCATGACCAAAGTAATAGCTTCATTATACTTCAACTGCAAATTTTCAAACACCGACGCAAAAGTGCTCAAATCAATTCGTTTGACGCGAAGACTTGAACGAATTGTAGTCCTCTGTGACACTTGAGTGTTTATGACTTTAATGTGCTCAGCAATAACAGGCACTTCATAGCTGCTTCGTTTTTGTCTGTACTCTCTACACAGTCATAGCATCTGTATTATCTGTATCTGTATTAAGATTGAGGTCCACGATCCATGCATCCATACCTTATCTTTTTTTCGAAAAAAATGGGCAAAGCTATTAATTATATAGAACAGGAGAAATATTGGTTTTGCACCCATTCAAAAGGTAATATAATATTCCTGATTTTTTCAACGCAAATAATTTTTGAAATCAGTTAAAGAAGTTCAAGGTTAACAGAAAAAATGTAATTCAAGAGTACAAAGCAAGAAACTCAATACATATTTGTTATTTCTATTTATTTGTTTTTTGCTCAAATATAATTATTATAGAGCTATTATTAAATCATTCTTAGTTTTCATCTTGGACGTTGACTGCATCTTTCAAGAGGCGATGCAGTTACTGCACCGTCAAGTGGCCCGTGTGAAACCAACAGAAGGCTGTTAGATGGCTAGATATCGGGTTTCAAAGTTCATAGTCCGTTTTGTTTATTTGTACGAGTATCTTCTCTTTACAATTTAAGTTTGTAAAAGTAATTCTGCAATTGCAGTCTTATTGAAAACCTTTTTCTTTTGTGTGAACGTAGTGTCTGATCGCTGCTCGACTCCGAGTCTCGTTGATAAGGGTTGTTGCACCCTCTAATTAAAGGATATGAGGTTATCCTATTATTCATATACATATACAGATTGACATATATATTTAAGTAACAGACAAAAGGAAGCGTTTCCGAACCCATAAAGTATGTACATATGTACATATATTCTTAATATTCTTGATTACCATTATCAGATTTATGCAACTATATGTACATATATTCTTAATATTCTTGATTACCATTATCAGATGTATGCAACTATGTCCGTTTGTTTGTATTGTGGGGTATTGTAGTGTCGTGGCGCTAACATATTTCCGAATCTGGATCAGATCGGATTATTATTATTATAGCCAGAATAAAACGAGAGGGAACGTTGTGAGTTGCTGCGGCGACCGCAACTCTACATTTATACCCGATACTTAGTCAGTATGGCACTTCTCCGGCAGACGACACTAATATTAAACGAAACGACAAAGAGTGAGTGCGAGAGAGACAGAAAATCGGTCTGAGTGTGTCGTCGGACGCTGCGTAGCCACTCAAAATTGATTTGTTCCTTTTGGCTATAATAATAAGGCGATCTGATCCAGATTCGGCAATCTGGTAGATATGCGTTTTTAGGTTTCTCGTATCTTCAATATTATGGATGCCACAGATTTTCGTCCTTTGTGGGGCGGAAGGGGGTGGGGCGAAATCCACACAGGAGTGTGGATACCAAATTTGGTTACTTTAGCCTTAATAGTCTCTGAGATTTGTGGATGCACCAGATTTTCGTGCTTCGCGGGGGCGGAAGGGGGTATGGCGAAATTTTGAATCAGACTTGTCTAGGTCCGATATCAGAGGAGTGTGGATATCAAATTTGGTTGCTCTAGCTTTTATAGTCTCTGAGATCTAGGAACTCACATTTTGTAATAGGCAAAGCCGAAACTGTTTCCTTGATTCTGGCTATAATAATTATACGATCTGGTTCAGATTTTGCACTCTAGAAGAAGGCAGACTCTACGATTCTGCCACAGATTTTCGCGCTTTGTGGGGGCGGAAGAAGGCGGGGCGAAGTTTTGAAATATACTTGTAACAGTGACATATCACAGAAGTCCGAATATAAAATGTCGTTGCTCTGGCTCTTATAGTCTTGGAGCACTAGGCGCTTATAGGGACGGACAGACAGACATGGATCTATCGACTCGGTTATTGATGCTGATCAAGAATATATACGAATATATACGAATATATACGGCCGGAAACGATTCCTTATGGACGTTACACACATCCATTTTCATCACAAATCTAATATACCCCTATACTATATACTTATTTTGAGTATCGGGTATAAAAACTCGCGTTGTAGTGGCTACGCAACCAATTCTCTCTCGCTCACAACCTCACTCACGCACTATACCTCATTCAATGTGTGTGATCTGTCGGAAGAGAGCGGAATAAAACGGCTGATATTGGTGTAAGAATAGGAAAAAATACAGATGTAAAAGAAAGCTTAAAGAAAAATCGATACCAATCAAATATAATAAATGAAAATCTAACAAACGTTTCGATCGGTTTTTATGAATTTTTGTTTGGCAATAAATCTATTTGTGAGTCGCAGCTATGGCCACGACTCAAAATTTATACCCAATAATCAGTAAGTATGGCTCCTCTCAGCCAGAGAGCACACACATTGTACTACGAAGAGTGTGTGTGAGAGAGAATGAGTAAGCGCGTGTGCAGATTTGCGTGGCAACTGCACATTGATTTTTTCTTTCTTGATATAAAAAAGATATGGTCATTCTCTACGATTCTGTGTTTTCGGGTTTCTCGATATCTTTTAGACTGTTAAAACTGATTTTAGACTATCGGACATAAAGAACAAGAAGATGTAAGTAAACTACATTTCGTGTAGTTGTTTATGGTGTGTCAGCTAACGATTAATATTCGTGTGATTTTCAGGGTCATCTGTTAATTTGCAAATTGGAAGCATATTTTAATTCTAATTACTTTTAATAGTGATCAAACTTATAAGGCATATGATGATAACTTAAGTTTTAGTTTTAACGTACACTCATGCATCATGAATTTAGTAATATGATTTAAACCTATAATGCAATATAATACAACTTTTTCATGAACAGGTATGGTTCTCTAACCGGAGGGCCAAGTGGCGGCGAGAGGAAAAGATGCGCACTCAAAGGCGGTCCGCAGATAATGTAGGTGGCAGTAGCGGTAGAGCCAGCACAAATAATCAACCAAGTACAGCTGCATCTTCCTCCGTCACACCGTCGAGCAACTCGACGCCCGGTATTGTTAGCTCAGCGGGCAACGGCATTGGTTCGGAAGGAGCATCGTCAGCTATAATCAGCAACAACACCCTACCCGATACATCCAATGCCCCAACTGTAAGTAATTATAGCACTTAATATGGTTTCACAATAGCTCGATTTTCATATGTGATAGGTTCTCGGAGGTGACGCCAATGCCACGCATACAAGCTCGGAAAGCCCACCACTTCAAGCTGTAGCACCGCGCATACCCCTAAACGCTGGCTTCAATGCTATGTACTCCTCTATCCCGCAGCCCATAGCAACGATGGCAGAAAATTACAAGTAAGTTGGTTAAAATTCGAAACCTGTATTGCACTAAACGTAGCAACACACGTTAAACAAGTGCACTGGGATCTCCGATACAGTTATCTATATACTATGTACATATTGTTTTATAATCGGATAATATATTATTTTTGATCGCTACTAATTTGGGCGCATCGGTGGATTATAACCCTATAAAAATGTATTAATATTAGATCCCCATTCCATATATCCATTAGAGATACCACAGTATTTAAGCCCAGTACTCAATAAGTTGTTGTTCTGGTTTTGGTTTCGATCTTCATTCCCTCTCTTCTCTCAAAGACTAGCTTAGCAACAGAAGGCTTTTCAGAGCTTTTCGTGTATTAGGCATAGCAAAATAAGAGCCAGCTTTTTGATAATTTGTTTCATTTCGTTTATTTTTTTACCCGGTATTCGAAGAGTATAGGGGTGTATTAGATTTTTTAGTGAAAATGGATGTGTGTAAAACCCAGAAGGAAGCGTTTCCGACCACATAAAGTATATATCTTCTTGATCAGCATCAATAGCCGAGTCGATATAGCCATGTCTTTCTGTCCATCCCGATGAGGGCCTTAATCTGATACAGATCGAATCATTATTATGGCCAGAAGGAAACAAATTAAATTTCAGTAGCTACGCAACCCCCAGCCACGCGCTTACTCATTTTCTGTACGCCCTCTGGCGCGAAAAAACGGACGTTGATGTAAATAAAAAAATGTAAAAAATATTGAAACAAATAAAATCTAATATGTATATACACAAATCTCCCAAATGGCTAAAACGATTTTTTTTTACATTTGTTTCACCATAAAATTAATTTATTCTTTTGCGAACAGCGATACAATCGTGATTTTTTAGCTGCTTAAATCGTTACTTGACAGAATCGAGAGCAGTATTACCCAGAATAGTGAAAAAATAAGATCTCAATTATTCTTCTGGTGTAAAGATTGTACATCCAACTCAATTAATGGATAAAATAAAGAATAATTTAGTACTTAACCCAAACGTGCATTGGCCACCTAACGTGCTAATATGAGAAACCAGGCACTTTAGGGAAGACAATCGAATTCGGCCCAAAAAATGTTAAAGCTTGAAAACAAATAACACCCGCCATAAAGCCGACTCTGAGCAAAAACGTAACAATAAATAATGAATTTCGGTGCGCCAAGGTGTCCTTATTAATTTCCTTTTGTAAAATGTATATATTTATATGAAATGTATACATATATATGTAAATTTACAATGCAGCTCTAGTAGTTGATCAAGCTGCGCTTTGGAGAAGTATTAACAGAAACTTAAACATTTCGATAGCTCAATGACCTCTTCGTTAGGCTCGATGACGCCCACATGCCTGCAACAAAGGGACAGCTATCCCTATATGTTTCACGATCCGCTGTCTCTAGGATCTCCGTATGCTCCGCCCCACCATCGAAACGCACCGTGCAATCCAGCAGCTGCACACCAACAACCTCCTCAACACGGAGTTTATGGTAACAGTTCTTCAATGACATCGAACACAGGTAGGGTACAGGTGTGAACGTTGAGTTATACGACAGTAAACTAATCAAGAGTCTCCCTCTTTTATTTCGTACAGGTGTTATCTCTGCCGGTGTGTCTGTTCCCGTGCAGATATCAACGCAGAATGTATCAGATCTAGCGGGTAGTAATTACTGGCCGCGTCTTCAGTGATCGTCAATTTTTAATTTGCCTTCTGCGCTCCTATCCAAGGCAGCAGCCGCCGCGGTAGCAGTTGCTTCCGTACATGCAGTTGAGGAGCAGGATAAGTATCAACAAGCGCATTCGGTTGTTAGTGAGGAAGCTACAAACACCAGCGATATCAATAGCCCACCAAATTTTATTCCACAAATGGCACTATGTTCACACCTGAAGATGAGCATGGGTGCGAAGAAGGGTATGGGTATGATGAAAATGGGTGTATGCATTTCACTTAGTGAAGTTATATCAGGTCAAGCTCTTACGCGTCCAACATCGCTATCCGCATCAGTGTCTACAACATCACCGATTTTTGATCCGGATGGTCTTGGTCCTGATCTTGACGCGAGCCACATCCAGACTGTCAATTGCAAATAATATAACAAATGAGCAACTCGACACAATGCCATTCCCTATCTCTTTCCCGGCTTAGGCGATACACATATTGAGTAGATCAGATCAGTGCCCTAGTACATCTATTATTTTTGGAAACGCAATTTACATACATAAATACATATATAGTTGCATAAATAGGATACTATTCAACTAACTAAGCAGAGTTATTCAGTTACGTACATATGGATGTACATATTTATTTTAATTTATGAAAATTCATCAAATTTCATATATGGCATACACATATGCCATATATGTACATACATATATGCCATATGTACATACATACATATATAAGAAGATAATAATGAATATGGGAATGCAACACCATTGGCGAATCAAGCCTAAATATAGATCTCTCCATACATACATATGTATGTATAATGTATTTATTATTATTTATTGGGATTGCTTTGCTATCCAACTGTATGAAGTGTGTGGAAACATACATACATACATATGAGTGTATAATCGAAATTAATTGCAACGAACTTAATTTCCAATAACATACGAGTATTTAAGACAACTCATTAAGACAGAGACACCGACACCTCCCTAGAATATAAGTCTTCAGTTTTAAATAATGTATATGTTTATGTATTTAATAACTTATGTATGTATTTAGCATATGGTTCGAATTTATATATAGAAAAAGTCGATGTATGTAATAAGCCAGTGAACTTACTCATGTATGTTGCATATTAACACACATACACATGTACATATGACCATACATGCATACGCATATGTTTGTATTTCTGACGTTCTTAAAAAAGATTTAATAAAATACTACAAATGTACACGTACATTACCCGTTTCAGTGTTATTTTAATAAATAAATTTAATACATGTTTTCAATGTCTTCAATGTTCAAACAAAATGTAACATTACCTTTTATGTAGGTACAAATGCCCTTATACTACGGCTGCGGCAGGCGTCTTTGCTTCTAGCCGAATACGAAGTTTTTTTACATAGGATACAAATAGGGACCTAGTGGAAGCGAAAAGTGACGGGACGACCTTTTCGAAAGCTGGTACGTGTTTTCCAAATATTCGATTCTTTTTGCACTTCTCTGCCTATCAGCGCAACTATCATCACAAATAACAACAACAAAAAACCAGATACAAATTCCAATTTAGACGCCTTAAAATTATGGCTGTGGGAAAAGGTAAAAATATACATACATATGTACATATAATTCTTAAAACAAACACTTTAAACTAATTGTATCATTAGACAAGTACAAAAAATATACAATACAAGGACCAAAAAGCTTTAGGGTCTTGTTGAGAAATCATTGCAAACTTGTTTAAATTATATGAAAAAGCAGGATGTATTATTAATTTACTAATTTTCGTTCGATGCTTCATGGCATAAATCATGTTGTTTTGACGTTGTGCGTCGCTCAAGACTGTGTATTTGTTGTTGGAAAATTACCGGACCGATGACCTGCGTCATTGCTATTATTTACACTGCCACGACTTAGTTATCGATATCCGAATAAACATATGTTGAATAAATATCTTGCTGTTGAACCACAGCCAAAAGATTGTGAAAGTTTTATTCATATTTTCAACCAACCAAACAAATTGGCCATGCTAAAACTCTGTTATTGTTATTGTCATCAGCTGTTTTTGGCGGACGGTGAATGGTGCCAGTGTGAATCGGCGTTTTACATCTGTCAAAAATTCCCACTGTTCCCCCAGGAAGCTATTCCTCTCAGTGTGCAGAGGGCATTACATTATAACCACAGTATCATTTAATTGTGCTGCAAGTAACAATAAGTGCACAACGATATTTTCGGATCAATAATTACAGATATAAAACTGTTCCATTCAGTCCTGGGTAATATTAAAACCCTTTAAAAACTTGCTGCAATTGTGTTGGAAATTTTAAGTAATTTACCTACTAATTCTGGACATTCTAGCGGACGGGGGTGTGGAATAAAACGTTAAGATGTAAACGTATGCAAGACGTGGCCTGAGTGTTCAATTGGTAAGAAAATTAAATTAGATAGAAACATGCATACGGGGAAAGGATATATCCCCGTATTACTGAAATATAGTTTGCACATCACTTGCTATTTCCACATACAGAATTTTAAGATTTAAATTATGGTAAATGTTATGAGAGACTACAAAGCTTAAAGAATTCAAACAATAAATAAATGAAAAATTATGTACATACATATGTAAAGAATAACAGAAACATAAAATTGTGAATTTGTACTGCACAACTTAATTCAGGCACCAATTCATGAAAGTATAGCAACGGAACAGGTTTGGCGTTACCTATTACTTCGCAAAACAAACCTAATATATTTTTAAAAACTTTCAACAATTAAAAGCAAAAACAAAACAATTGATCGATTTTTCTTAATCTTATATTTAACCTGCTTGGAATCAATTTGGCTAATTTTCCTTTTATTTATGGCGACATTTTCAGTGTTGGATGAAAGCTACGCAAGCGTCGCACTTCCTACCTGCCCATCGGTGGGTGTAGCATAACCGTACTGGCTGGGGGTGGTGGTGTTGGTCGAAAACATAGAGAATGACCATATCTGCCAGATTGCCGAATCTGGAGCAGATCGGATTATAATAATAGTCAAAAGTAACAAACCAATTTTCGGTCACTACGCAGCAACCGACATCAAGTTCTCACTGATTTTCTGTCTCTCTCGCACGCACTCTTTATCGTTCAATGTCAGCGCCGTCTGCAGTAGGAAAGCCATACTGACTAAGTATCGGGTATAAATGTAGAGTTGCGGTCGCAGCAGCAACTCACAACGTTCCCCTTGGTTTTTATACCCGATACTCAAAATGAATATTGGGGTATATTAGATTTGTGGTAAAAGTGGATGTGTGTAACGTCCAGAAGGAATCGTTTCCGACCCCATAAAGTATATATATTCTTGATCAGCAGCAATAGCCGAGTCGATTGAGCCATGTCTGTCTGTCCGTCCGTCCGTCTGTCCGTCCCCTTCAGCGCCTAATGCTCAAAGACTATAAGAGCTAGAGCAACGATGTTTTGGATCCAGACTTCTGTGATATGTCACTGCTACAAAAATATTTCAAAACTTTGCCCCGCCCACTTCCGCCCCCACAAAGAGCGAAAATCTGTGGCATCCACAATTTTAAAGATACGAGAAAACCAAAAACGCAGAATCGTAGAGAATGCCCATATCTTTTAGACTGCAGAATCTGAATTGGATCGTATTATTATTGTAGCCAGCATCAAGAAAACAATTTCATTTTTTCTCGCCCTGTCTCTCTCTAACACACAAGTAGCATAGGCGGCTTTGCTTAGAGTAAAACATTAGCGCCTAGATCTTAGAGACTATAAAAGCTAGAGCAACCAAATTTGGTATCCACACTCCAAATATATCGGACCGAGACGAGTTTGTTTCAAAATTTCGCCACACCCCCTTCCGCCCCCGCAAAGGATGCAAATCTGGGGATATTCACAAATCTCAGAGACTATTATGGCTAGAGTAACCAAATTTAGTATCCGCACTCCTGTTAGATCTCACTATTAATCGTATATCTCAAAATTTCGCCCCACCCCCTTCCGCCCCCAGAAAGGACGAAAATTTGTTGCATCCACAATATTGCAGATTTGAGAAAACTAAAAACGCAGAATCATAGATACTGGCCATATCTATCAGATTGCTGAATCTGGATCAGATCATTTTTATAGCCATAAGGAACAAATCAATTTGCAGTGTCTACGCAGCGCCCGACGTCACGCTCAGACTGATTTTCTGTCTCTCTCGCACGCACTCTTCGTCGTGTCGTTTAATATTAGCGCCGTCTGCCGGAGGAGAGCCATACTGACTTAGTATCGGGTATAACTGTAGAGTTGCGGTGTCCGCAGCAACTCACAACGTTCCCCCTCGTTTTTTATTATATTTAAACTTTAATTTGACAACAATATAAATTTTTATTTTTTGTAAATGTTCTTTAAATATTCCTGTATTTAGTTCATAAGCGGTTTGGCTTCTAGATCGACTTAACTGACGCAACCGCATACTAAAAGTAGCATATTATAAATGCGACAGCTCTTATAAAAATTCGATTTTTGAGAGATCTGGAAAATTTGCTTTTAGATGCATATATTCTTTGGCTTTTTCCACCTATTTTCCACTGAGGCCCCATTGTGCGAGGGTTGGCGAAGCGAGTTCATATGCGTCTGACCCTCTAGTAACTTTATATTTTATTGTTTCATACCAAAGGGAACATTTTTAGACCCTGAGTCCTTTAAAACTTACACTCTTGTAAGCAACCATAAGCAAACCATGTAAGCAAACCATAACTGCATCTAATCTTTTTAAATGAAAATAATGATATATTTGCACATATCATCTGTGTACTAAAATATATATACATATATATTCTTATGTATATATATGGCCTGTCTTGTGACAAGGCGCGAGCCGAACGAGACAAGTACTACAACGGAAGACCTGGGAGCTGCCGCCGAAAATTCGGCTGGTACGTTTTCTGTTTTGTATGAACTGGCACATATACATATGTATATACTAGACTAGTGTTTGTTTGTACTAATATGGTAAAGTATCGGTAGTGAAATAAAATTGTTTTGTCCCATCTCTAGTTGTTACTTTCAGAGAAAATGTGTAAATTTGCAAAAAAATAAGTAAATTAAAACGATATGGTGTATTGTCCGAGGATGTAGTTTTCATAGGTACCGATTTGTGATATAATTAGATCTTGTATGTATATCCATCCGGCGTGGAGTTAAAACAAGCACCGCTCATCCTCGCTTGATTCAGTTATACATACAAAAGTGCACCAAAGACCGAACCCCGAACCCATTGTGAAAAGTGAAAATCGAAGACTGCTCGAGAGTAAAGCAAATTTAAATCATAAACTCAGATAATTCGACTTTAATTGAAAATTACAGTTCAAATCGGTTAGTGCGTTATTATTCTCTTCGTGCATGTTCGTAGCTAAAATTGTACATATCTATCTACATTTGTTATTTAATTTATGTATGTATATACGTATCTATGACACATAAAAACTGCGAGTTCTACATACAAATGTACATATAGATGAACAATCATACATAAAAAGTGAAGTTTTTTAATTTGGGTAGAAAAAATGCATCGATGCTCCGCAACTAAATACATATTTATGTATGTATATACAACAAATATTGTAAATGTATGTATGCATGCACATACATATGTGCATAAAAAGAAAGAAAT